AGACATGCAATTGAAAATATGAATATAGCACAAAAACAGGATAGAACTACCTACAGACAGCTTCTCATTTTGGAAAGGGTCCACAGTAGACAGCTTAAGGTTAAAGTTATAGGGGTAACTTTTCTCTTTTTTCTCTCCCCACCTCCCGTATCCTGGTTAAACTTCTGTCTGTCCTTCTCAACCACCTTTCCAACAAAAATTCTGGCTTGTTTTTAACTTCTTCAGTGGATAAAGTTGCCGAATGATTAATGTGCATTGATCAGAGCCAAGACATGTGCAGTTACAGAGGCTCTGCGGACGCGGGGAACGGATTCCTTATATTGAATTCTCTCCCTACCTCTTCGAAGCGCTGCCAGCCGCAAGAAGGTGCTAACCCGCCCTCAGCAAGGAAAGGGTTACGCCAGCAGCAGAGCAAGGCGGCGTCGGGGATCTCAGCTCTTTCCGCTTCCTGCTTGGGCCTCGGAGAAGACGAGCGGCTGCGATCTCGGGTGAGAATCGGGTGGGGAGAGTTCTGCAATGATAATCCCGATTAGTCGAGGAGGGGGCGGAACAGATGATATGCTTTGCAAGTTCTTGCATAATTGCATTATTTCGGCTAATTCTGCGCTTCTAGCAGAAGAGCGGGGATGCGGGGGGGGGGCGGGGATTCTCCTGGCTGCAACGCGCAAAGGATGGCGGCTGAATTGCATCCAGTCTCGCTGCTATCCTGGTTACCCGCAATGGCCAAACCATACTTTTCCGTTTCCAGCTACTAGCTGATATAGATCAGCATCTATAAAACCTGGCGACTTTAAGACATCTGGACTTCATCTCCCAGGCTTCCTCATGCTGGCTGGGGAATTTTGGGAGAAGAAGTCCACATGTCTCAAAGTTCGCCAAGTTTCAGGAAAGCTGCATTTTTAACTGGAGTGGGGGAGCTTTAGTTGCCCATTGTGCTGGCAGCAAATGGTCTGGTCTGCCTTTAGTTTGTCAGTTCTCACTTCGGAAGCCATGTAAATGGGTGCCTGTCCATTATCGCTTTCAAAAGCAAATTCCATTAAAGATCTCCCCGCAACTTTATGGTACTACCGATGCTTAGCCAGCAAGGTGACCGAAAGATATAGAGTTATGTGCCCATTACCCAGTCCTCCCTTACTTACTTGTGGGTTGCATTTTATTTTATTCTAATTTCCTCCTTGCTATAAATTCCCCCTTTCGGGATCTTGCCAGGATAATTGTTTTGCTGGACTTTTAAGGAGAAATATTATACTGGGAAGGTGTAAAGGGGTTTTGTTTAAATGAAGCAGCTCTGAAACTGGAGTGTGGCTGCTCCCTGTGAGACAGATCTATGCTGAATTAGACAAGGGTTCCCCCCTCTAATATTCTGGTCTAATAGCAGCCATCCAGATGCTTAAACAGGTAATCCTTCTCTAGTAACTGCATTGTATAATGACCATTAGCAGTTACCACAGTAATGAAAAATGATCTTTGGGACCAATCACATTTATGATCTTCGCAGGTCTGTAAAGCAAAGGAAAGCTGGCATAAGATTGTAAGCAGTCATAGTTTTGCTTAATTGCTTTGCTTAACAACTGTGTTGCCAATGTCAATTGTGATCACTAAATGAGGACTATCTGTACCAAGCTTCTTCTTCCTCCTTCTAGGCTAGCCAATAGATGCTTTGGGATCCATGGAATTGAATAAGTAGCTACTATATTTTGTATTACTTTAAAAAAATAAAATAAAATTCCAAAATGTTGTAACTTTGGCTTGTGGTGGAATTGCTGCAGCTTTTAATCATTTTCTGCATATTTTTCTGCTTGTGTGGAAACAAAGGTGTGCTCTTAGGTATATTGAATACCATTTTAGGATGCCCCAGTGGTACAGTTGTGTGTTACAATATCTTTGTGTCTGATTAGAAGTATCAAGGCGTGTCTTATTCGTAATTAATGCACGGTTAACTGATTACTGGGATAAGACTGAGCTGGAAATATTTACGTAATTGCTGAAGTTGTTTTTTGGATTTTTCTTCTTCCCCAGAGCCATCTTCTGCCTGCCCTCTTTCTTTTCGACTGCTGCCCACGATGAAGAAAAACCTACGGAAAAACCAGGACGAGCGTTACCGCCTAAAGTTTCAGCGCCTTTGCCGTGTGGCCAAGGTGCTGGTTTACGAGAACGCAGCTTTGTGCGATGAGATTGCCCGGCTGGAGGCCAAATACCTGCAGATACGTGAGGAGCGCCGTTTCCTGCTTACTCGCCTCTTGCAGGCACAAGCCGTGGCTGAGGATGAATCTCCCATGCCAGCTGTGGCAGCCGGCCTGCAGCCTTCCTCAGATGAGCCGCCTACTCGCAAAATACGCCGGGAACGCAAAGGCAAAGAGAATGGCCGAGCGTCCAAACGCAGGGCACCTCTGGAGCTGGGCATACGCAAGCTGGTCCCCCCAATTCCTTTGGATCCTGCCGGACGGCCAATTTTTCCTATTACTTTAGGTTCACTGACTGTCTACAGTCTGGGTGATATCATCTCTGACCGTCCTGGTTTCCACACTGAGAATGCCATCTACCCTGTGGGGTATTGCAGTACCAGAGTTTTTGCCAGCACCCGCAGGCCAACTCACCGCTGTCTCTACACGTGCCAGATCAAGGATGGGGGCACTGGGCCTCGCTTTGAAATGGCCCCTGAAGACGAACTGGGGGTAGCAATATCAGGATCCACTCCGGATGCCTGTCATAGTCAGCTGTTGGAAGCAGTGGGTGCTGGCCAGCTTGAGCCAGCAGGGGCTGAATTTTTTGGGTTGTCACACCCCGCAATCCAACACCTTATCCAGAGCTGCCCAGGGGCACACAAGTGTGCTGGGTACCGCTGGTGCCGCTTTGAGGTCTGCCGCTCGAATGATGGACCCCCTCCTGAGGGGCTGTCTCCGAGGAATCCGGGCACTGATTTTGAGGCCTTCCAGAGTCAAGGATTGGCTGGGCCTCTGAATCTGGATTTCCCTGCGGCTTCTCCTTCTCCACCCAGCGGAAATGGCTACACTGAACTTTTCCTGCCTTGTGCTACTTCGGCTGGGTCCCCCCTCCCTCCGAGTCCAGAAACTGACCCCGATTGAGAACAGCCAGAGGGCAGCTTTCCAGGTGCACCACTCTTTCGTTCTAGCTCCTCTGTGGGGAGTATTGCCTGATGTCACTAAAATGGGCTTGATTGAAATTTTCAGGGGCTTTTTTCTTTACCTTTAGGTCTACAGCAGCTCCAAGCACCCGCTTTATCTCTTAAGCCTTCCATAGGAACAGTAAGAATAGAAGTAATTTAAAAACTACATTAGCAGGAATCAGGGCTTTTAAAGGGGGTTATGGTATTTTAAAATTCCGAGGTTCACAAACTTTTGGAACCTCAAACTCCCCCCCCCCCCCCCAAAAAAAAAGAGACGAGATTGCTTAGTTTTGCAAAATCATTGATAATGTGGCTTTATTTTAGAGGTGGACACTCTCATTTCCATTTATTCTGGAGCAATATTTGTTCTGTACAGGAGGAACAGCTACAGAAGATCTTGTCATTAGCTCATCCAAAGTGGGAACCAGTTTGGAGAACACTCCAGCTTCTTGTAGAGAAATTCATGTGCTTTAAAGCCTTTTTAAAACACACTCCCGCTCTGCCTAGATAAACAAGCTGTTGGCTTATCCAGTTGGACCTGGAGCAAGGACACATGCATAAGCTCCCTTCCGAATTTGCTACCCTCTACAGCAGGGGTGGGAAGGTATGTCCCCTTTATGACCTATGTTCCTCTTTATGACCTATGGCTCAGGAATTCTGGGAGTTGACGTCCACAAGTCATAAAGGGGCCATAGTTGCTCACTTCTGCTCTACAAATAATCCTCACTTAAAAACCTGAATTGGGACCAGAATTTCCATTGCTAAGTGATGTGGCTGTTGGGAAAAACTTCACATGACCATAATATTTACCATTGGAATTTTTGATAGTCCTAGTTGCATGTCATTAAGTGAGGACTGCACTTTTCCTGCCTTACTGTCCACTTCAGCTCAGCCCAGCCAGCCATCTCACCCCAATCACTGCCTTTCTAGCCACCCTACACTCCATTGTTTGTCCTTGCTGCCCCAGCTGACCACTGTCTTCCTCCCATTGCCAGTGACGGCTGCTTCACATGACAGCTGTTGAGAGAGCACAGGGAGAAGAGAAGCAGAGAAAAGCCGAAAGGGCAGAGATTGGAGATAGGTGGATGGGGGAAAGTGTGCCCCGAGGACATAAATGCAGCTGGGCTGGCAAATAATTTTGATCATGTGAACGCAGGGGTGCAGGAGTGGCCATAACTTCAAGGGCCAGGCATAAGTCTCATTCATTCAACATCCTTTAAACTGCCACTGAGTGATTGTTAATTGAGGACTACTGGTAATATTTGTTTGTGACTCTGCAGGGAGTTACAGTTCAATCTGAGAATCCTATCGTAAGCCAATACATCTGGTGATATAAATTATAACATCTGAAGTCAGGGAAAGTACACACCACTCATGTTCTGATACTAGAAATTGAACCTTCATTTTGATCCCAAACAGCCAAAGGACAACTTGGGAACCAGATGAGATGAGATGGAATGCATGTAGTCTGTAACTTACTATCACCACCCCTGCTATTAAGCTTCTTGAGTTTTCCTGCAGCTGGGCTGGCAATTGGTGTCAAAATATTTCCATTATAGCCCAATTGGAATGGTAATGATGTTAGATCATGTCTTGTCAGTTAACATGTATAACTTCTAAGGCTGTGATGGCGAACCTATGGCATGCATGCCACAGGTGGCATGTGGAGCCATTTCTGAGGGCACGCAAGGTCAGCTCTAAGGCGCAAGTGCTGGCCGGCTGATTTTGGCCTTGATTTTCAGCTGTTTTTCACCTTCCAGAGGTTTCAGGGAAGCTTCCTGAAGCTTCTGGAGAATGAAAAACCATCCAACACGCAAACTGGAAGTTTGGGAACGGACTTCCGGTTTGCGTGTTGGACTGTTTTTCGCCCTCCGGAGGCTTCAGGAGGTGTATTTCTGCTTTCACCCAGAATTTTCAAATGAGCATTATCAAAGAAAATGTTTTTGTAAATTGTATTTGTGTGTGTGATACTCATTAGGCAATGATACGATGAACTCCATGCTAATATTGTGTTAAGATACCTTCTTGTTGTAACTGAGGGTTGTAATTCTCCTTCCTGTTTTGTAATGTATGAATGCTAATAGACTAGCAATTAAATTACAAGTGTTCCTATACTTTTTCCATTGTATATTAGGAAAAAAGGTAGAACATTTCAGAGTAAAGTAGAAGCACATCTATGCCAATGTTGGCAAAGCATCATTGGTTACAGAGCTTCCAAATTCATACACAAAATCAAGCACACAATGACTGACATATATTGTATCATGATTTTTTTCCTCGTTACTGATTTTTCTTAGTGTATTAAAAAAAATTGTCCATAAGCCTTGATTTTGCATCCTATTTTGTCTTTGAGCCCTATATTTGCTTGGGTAGAAAATTTGATGGTAGTAGTAAGAGAGAATAAGGTAAAGGTTCCCCTCACACATATGTGCTAGTCGTTCCCAACTCTAGGGGGCGGTGCTCATCTCCCTTTCAAAGTCAAAGAGCCAGAGTTGTCCGAAGACATTTCCATGGTCATGTGGCTGGCATGACTAAATGCCGAAGGCACACGGAATGCTGTTACCTTCCTACCAAAGTGGTCCCTATTTTTCTACTTGCATTTTTTATATGCTTTCAAACAGCTAGGTTGGCAGAAGCTGGGACAAGTAATGGGAGCTCACTCCATTGCGTGGCACTAGGGATTTGAACCGCTGAACTGCCAACCTTTCTGATCGATAAGCTCAGCGTCTTAGCCACTCAGCCACCACATCCTTCAGGAGAGAATATGAATACAAAAATAATGTCACTTATCCAATAATAAAGTCTCCTTTTTACAAAAGGATTTCTTTCCCCAATTTGTAATGCATAGGCTCATAATCCTATCTGTGCAAATCAGTTGTGACATGTTTACATATACATTCATCAGTGTTCATATATACAATCCTTGACGTAACCAGTTGCTTAGCAACCATTTGAAGTTATGGTAGACACTTCTAATCATCTCCAAAGGTTCTTAAAAGAGGGTTATGAAATTCTGACAGCTGCCCTGCCCCATAACCATCCCGTGGCCACACATTGGGTGCTCATATACTGTTATTTGCAGCATCTCATTGTTATATGCTTGTGTTTTACAATTTATTTATTTTTTTGCTAAAAAATAGTATTTACTTTTGGCTTTCAGTAAAACTGGCCTGTAGCAAACAATGCTATGTTTGCTATGCATACAATGCATAACAAGCAATGCAGCGTTCACCTGCAGAGTGCCACAAAAAAAGGTAAAATGGAGTCAGTCACATGGGTGAACTGCTTTAGGACCATCATGACCTACTGTAATGGTCATAAGCTGAGGAGTACCTATACACATCTGAGAGATGCCAGCCACACAACTACAATATGTACTTTTTCCCTCAAATTTGATAGAACCATACCAAATGGCCTTGTGTGTGTGTGTGTATGAATGTACAATTATCAATGTAAATAGACATTGTTTACACACCAGCTTTCTCTTACAAGTTCTGTATTAGTATTTTTGAACAATTTGATCTAAGGGGAGAGAACAAAGTGATACTGATCCTAGCAACACAGATATGAATTGCTGCTGAATGATTTTCCAGGACCAATGCTTCAGAATGGCTATTTGGATGCATTTAATGTCCAAGTATATATCCAAACTGGGTCCATCACACATAAAAACTGCATTGCCCTCCAGGTTTGTGTGTATGTGTGTTTCTCCATGTATGTGTGTAAGTGTAAGGATTTTCACGAGCTTGCATGCTTGAAGAAGGCAGAACTATCTCCCAACCACGCTGGAAAAACGGACCAAGAAGGTATCCAGTTAAATTAAGATTACTGATCTTTCAGTTAACGTATCACTGTTGGCTTGGGAATTATCTGTTTGGATATATTGAGGTGCTAATGAGACAGCATCCTGTCCTTCAATGGAAACCAGGAAACAATCCCAGATATTTCTGGCAGAAGTTGTCCAAGTGATCTTCTTGCCCAAGCACTTTTCTAGCATCCCCATTTGGTACATGCTATGGGGTTGTCTCCCGATCAGGAACTTGAAAAGGAGGGCAAAGAGACAAACAGGTATGTCCGAAACATAGCAAACCTCATTTACCATTAATAATCTTGATTTGGATGCGGGAGAGGGATAAAACCAGAATTTATCTGGTAAGGTTTCAGTAGCTCCTGAAGGTATGCTGGTAAAACTAAGCAATGTTGTTGTATACCCGCACAACGTCTACGTGGTTCTCAAGGGCTTCTAACAACCTCATAGCCCCTTCCATCTCAGCATCTGATAGCTTGGCGTGGACAACTGGGATGAATTCAAGGCCAGCAGACAAAGAACAAAGGCCTAGCGACTCCAGTTTTTCACGTACTTGGTGCAAGGTGGACACAGCGGAAATAAACTAAGTGGCAGAGAAGACGACAAAAGAAGGAAAAAAGATATTGTTATAGCCTAGGGGTCTGAAACCTTAAACACTCAAAGAGCCATTTGGACCTATTCCCACAGAAAAGAAAACACCTGGAGCCACAAAACCTGGGCGGGCGTGGCCAACTTGAAATCACTCCCACCCAGTCACATGACATCACCACCCCCAACCATGCCTACCCAGGTTTTGTGGCTCCTGGTATTTTCTTTTCTCCGGGAAACAGGCATCTCTTTCTCGCTCTCTTTCTCTCCCTCTCATCACTCTTTCTCCCTCCCTGTCTCTCACCCACATCTCCTTCTCACTTTCTCCCTCCCATTTCTCCCTCCCTCTCTCCCTCTCTCTCTCTCTCTCTCTCTCCCTCTCTCGTGTGTGTGTGTGTGTGTGTGTGTGTGTGTTCCCTCTTGAACCACTTCCAAAAACAGTTGAGGGTTGGTGGGTTTTTCTGGGGGGGGGGTGATGTTCCTCCCTGGGTGCTTTTTACCATATGATTTAAATCAAGGGTCATTTCAGGTTCCCAGATAAATGAAGCTCTTTCATCCCACTGCTGTGGCTTCTTATTGGCTGAATCCACCACTGGCTGGCCCCGCCCCTTGTCCTCCCCTCCCAGTCACTCCTCACCTGAGAAGGTAAGAGCGATGGTGGCAGATGGAGACTCATTCCATATTCCAGAGAGGGAGAGAAGTGCTCCTGTACTTGCCTCTTTTTCCGGCCTCTGTCAGTGCTGCGCGCAGCTAGGTTGCTTGGCCCGACCCAGCTGCAACCAATGATCTGCATCATAATGGGCTCCAGAAAGAGGAGGGGAAGCCGTCTCCCCCATTGTAAAGTGCACTAAATTTAAGTCTGCTGCGCAAAGCGCTGCAAGAGCATCAAGCAGGCCATGGAGGCGGCGAGAGCAGCCGTGTCAGCCACAGCCGGGCTGGGCTAGTGTCTCAGGGCAGAGAGAAAGTTGTACATTTCCCCGAACGACCGAGGGGAGGGTAAGGGGCAGGGCCAGCCAGTTGTGGGATCACCTGACAGGGAGCTACAGCAGAGGACACCCATTATAGCCAGTGCCTAGAAACCTAAACCACCTGATCAAATATAAAAAGTTCAAATAGTTACAACCATGGGGTCCTCCAACAGTGGAAGCTTTTTGTACCCTTTGGGAGACTAAGAAAATCTGCAGAAATCATACATTTGCAGAGTTTACACTTTTAGATCAGGGTTGCTATTACCACTTGTTCCACTGATTGATTGTTCTAACTGTCGGGAAATTTCTCCTTGGTTCTAGGTTGATTCTCTCCTAGATTAGTTTCCACCCACTGCTTCATGTCTTCAGGTGCTTTGGAGAATAGCTTGACTCTCTCTTCTTTGTGGCATCCCTTGAGATATTGGAACACTGCTATCATGTCTCCTCTAGTCCTTCTTTTCATAAAACTACACATACCCAGTTCCTGCAACCGTTTTTCATATGTTTTAGTCTCCAGCCCCTAATCATCTTTGTTGCTCTTCTCTGCACTCTTTCTAGAGTCTCCACATCTTTTATACATTGTGGGACCAAAACTGAATGCAGTATTACAAGTGTGGCCTTACCAAGGCATTATAAAGTGGTATTAACACTTCACGTGATCTTGATTCTATCCCTCTGTTTATGCAGCCTAGAGCTGTTTTGGCTTTTTTGGCAGCTGAAGCACATTGCAGGCTCATATTTAAATGATTGTCCACTAAGACTCCAAGATCCCACATATACTGTACCTGTGTACCAGTATAGAAAGGGTCTTTAGACTGAGCAAGTTATATCAGAGCTTGGAATGCACTTGATGAAGATCAACTATCATGTTTCCTCAAATATAAGACCCGGTCTTATTTGTTTCCCTCCTAAAGAGGCAATAGGTCTTATTTGGGGGGGGGGGATGACTTCCACAGTCTCACCTCATGGAGGCAGCACCAACAGCCCTGCCCAGAGAAGCCTGTGAGCTGCTGGCCCACTTAATCTGTGGCTGCTTGCCACCACTAACACACGGGACTCGTGGCCTCCATTTCGCCATCAGTGGCCTTCAGAAAAGGCCTCTGCAGCCAAGAAACGAGCTCCAGGTTGACGTGCGTGGCATCCCCGGACCTCCGTTTTGCTGTCAGAGGCACCGTCAGAGCTTTTTGCTCAGCTGCAGAGGCCTTTTGTGAGGGTCTTTCGTGCAAGTGTGTGCTGCTTACTTTGCTAAATTTAACCCCCCCCCCCCTTTCAACTTACCCTAAGCACCACCTTCTCATCCTCCTCTTCCTCTTCCTCGACATCTTCAGCTTCGGCTTCAATTGCCAAGTCGAATGCCCGATCCAAGCTGACAGGTCTGCCGGATTTGTCTTCCTTGCTAACAGTCACAATCCCCTTTTTTTCAAAATGATTGTGAATCCCTTCGATAATACTCCCCCTGCAAGGAACCAAGTCTTCAGCCTAAGACTTAAGCAGTGGCTTGCTAGAACTTCTACAATCTCTGATGTGGAAGGACTACTTACAGCAGGGGTGCCCAAACTTGGAAACTTCAAGACAGGGCTGGAGAATTCTGGGAGTTGAAGTCCACAAGTCTTAAAGTTGCCAGGTTTAGGCACCCCTGACTTACAGGAATACCCACTTCTTCCAAAGGAACAAAGCACCCATATCTTCTTCAGCAGATTCCCTGTTAAACTTGCATGCCCTCCCTCCTACCTCTTGCAAACTAGCCAGCCAACACTCCTCAAGTTCCACTAACCCGTTTTTGTTTAAAAGATGTCGGATTTCATTGGAAGTCCTCTTTAAGTTGTCTGTCAGTATCTCGACATATACAGATGAGCCACCTGGACCTCGGACGCCGCAAAGGTGATAGATGGATTTTATTTTGTCCTGCCAAAGAAGTTAACAAATGGTAACCTTCAGCAAATCACATAACCTTCCCCATCACTTCAGTTTTCAGGATCAAGCATATTGTCCCCAGCTGCCCCTTTAAAGCAATTTATCAAAAGCAGGATCCAAATGCATTTTTAAAAATTTATTTAAAAGATTTGTGTGGCCACCTATCTTAAACATAATTCTGGGAGACTCACAACAATGAAAGCAGTAACTCAAAATCACAGACCACAAAATGGTAACAAAAATGCAGTGCGTAAGTCATCTCCTTGGGATGCCCTACAACCAACCTAGATATCCTCCTTCTATCCTAACACCTGGGTAACAAGCCAGTTCTTGGTGGGGTACCAAGAGGCGAAAAGGGAGGGGTCCTGCCAAATCACCAGAGGAAGGGTGTTTCATAAGGAAGGATAACCACGGAAAAAGTAACCTTCTGAAGTGGTGCTAGATGGCAAGGAAAAGAACCAGGAACATGCCTGCCCTATCTGATATGGCAGGATAAACAGTTATTCTCAGGAAGAGGAGGAGATCCTGCAAATATCTGGGTCTTATTCCATGTACCGTTTCCCTGAAAATAAGACCTCACCGGATAATAAGCCAATTGGGCTTTTGAGCACATGCGCTAAAATAAGCCCTCCCTGAAAATATTGCAACAAGGCAGCAGCCATTAGGTGACCACGCTTGCAGCCTCCTGCACCTCACTAATAACAAGACCTCTCCGAAAATAAGACCAAGCGCCTTATTTCAGGGGTCAAAAGAAAATAAGACCTGTCTTATTTTCAGGGAAACACGGTAGGGTTTTAAAGGTGATAACCAACACTTTGAATTGCACCTGGAAGGAAGCTGGGATCCAGTGCAGCTTAAACAACAAGTGATGTAATATGGCCAAACCTAAGGAACACCTAATATAGCACATGCTGCTGTTATCTACACCAGTTGTAGCTTCCAACTGGTCTTCAGTTGTTCTTCAATGCATCCCTTAAAAATGTATTCCTTAAAAGATATTTCTAAGCTGCTTTTCAGCTCTATACGCTCCACAAAGGAATGGATAATTTAAGACTGAACAGCAATTAAAATCACAAAGCAGAGACCAAAAACTGGTTGGTCCTAGTAACTATTTTGCTCCCAAATACAGATAGCCAGCAACTTATAACAGTGCATTTGGTGATGTTGAAAGTTACAATGGCATTGAAAAAGGTGACTTATGACCATTTTTCATAGCTATGATTTTTGCAGCATCTCAATGATCATGTGGTCAAAATTTAGATGTCTGGCAACTGGTTTGTGTTTATGACAGTTGAAGAGTCCCAAGGTTACGTGATCCCCTTTTCCGACCTTCCAACAAGCAAAGTCAATGGGGAAGCGAGATTCACTTAACAACCATGTTACTAAGTTATCAACTGCAATGATTCTCTTAACAATTGCGGTAAGGTTATAAAATGGGGCAAAAGTCTCTTAAGAAATGTCTCACATAAACAACAGAAATGTAGCAACATAGCTGTCTCACAAAGGAGGGAGCAGGGACATTCAGAGGGAGGGATGTGGGGGAAGGCACATTTATTGTGATATTGTGGAGCAAATAACACACATCATGTCTTGTACCCTGGCCTAAGGGTATAATTTTTATCTTGATGTCATATAGCTTATCAATAGGATGACACCCCCATCATTTTAACATTGCCCCAGCTTGTATTGTACATCTTTGGCTATAGCCATTCCTTTATGTAGACCTCCAATTACTCAGAACCTACCGCACCAGAGATGGCTGTTTCAATAGAGCCTTTTGGCATATTCTTCCTTCGACACACCTCAATAATGTTGGCTAAATTACTGTTAAGATTTGGGTTGGATCCTCCTTCTGAAAAGGCAATGCAGAAAGAGATGGCAGGTCATTATCATTTGTTTAGGAAGCCAAATGGTGCATTTTAAAGAATTGGAAATAAGAAAGCTTTTTGTTCGGTTAGTACATGAAAAGCAACAATGCAAACAGCAGAAAGTTAAGGCTGGATAGAAAAATAGGTGTGCATAATTAAGAATGTACACACCATAGTTTCTTCAAAGTTGTAAGTAAGGAAAAGAGAGAACATTCAGGACCCAGCTTAGTGTTAAATGCAGAACATCTTCTATTAAATCGGGGAGGGGGGGAATAGGGGAAGAGCCCACTGAAAGGCTCATTCAGTGCAAATAGGAAGCAACATGTTTCATAGCTCCATTTTATTTTATATTCCATTTTCATTATTTTTATAAATATGTCAAGGCAGCAAACATAAACAATACTCCTTTCTCCTCCTATTTTCCCCACAACAACCCTGGGAGGTGGGTTGAACTGAGAGAAAGTTTCTGGCCCAAAGTCACCCAGCTGGCTTTTGCATCTAAGGTGGGACTAGAACTTACAGTCTCTTAGTTTCTAACCTGGTGCCTTAATCACTAGACCAAACTGTTTGGTCACTGTTTAATCCTAACAATCTTGGCAGAAAAGATTGCTCATCAACACATGTCACAGTCCTGTCTTTTCTGCAAGTCCATCACTCAGACAAGTTAGCACAAGAATCATACTCAGCTAAGATAGGTTTATCCAACATTTATTGCCTGGAGTATGTTTTTTCCATATGGTAAATCACAAACCCAAATGGCTGGATTCACACAACCCACTGAGCTAACATTCAACCAACCATATTATCGTTTCATGTCATATTGTGATTTAGTCAAAGCAGTCCTTAGGATTCTTCACCATGATTATTTTAAAAAAGCTAGTGAAATATTGGATCCCTACCCTTCACAGCAAAACGGATCATCATGGTAAGTTTTTGGAAGGCCAAGGCACGTGCAATATCTTTAGGCCCCTTAACATGTTTGACTTTGGACCACTTGTTGTGTCCAGCAAGTGTGGTACTGGAGGCATGGATGGCACAACTTGGATGATGGAAAAGCATCATACGGGATGGTCGAAGCAGAGGACTCAGCCGTGTGTAAATGCAGCCCACAGACATGACTTGGTTAGCCAAAGATCCTGGAACAAAAGAGAATATGAAGGAAAATTACCATGGAGCCACTTTAAAGAAAATATAATCAATCTATCTATCTATCTATCTATCTATCTATCTATCTATCTATCTATCTATCTATCTATCTATCTATCTATCTATCTATCTATCTA